TCATTTTTCTTAGCAACTAAACAGCATTCCATTGTGTAAAGGTATCATATTTTCATTAGCCATTTATCAGTTGATGGACATATAGGCAGTTTCTATTTCCTGGCTATTGTGAACAGAACATCAGTGAACACTAATAAGTATTCTATAGTAATATATAGAGTCTTCTGGATACGTGTTCAAGGGAGGTATAGCTGGATCATGTGACAGATCTACTTCCATCTTTTTGAGGAATGTTCACACTGATTTATCTGCAACAATTTGCATTCCCCCAGTAGAGAATATGTATTCCTCTGTCCCTGAATCTTTGCCAGCACTTGTCTTCATTATCAACTGTGGTCTTTACATAGTACAATAACTCTTAATACTTAACTCCTCTAAGACTTTGTGCCTTTGAGTATCATCTCTTCTTTTTCCCACTCCTCCTTTTCCGGCCTCTGGTAGCCCCTCTGAAACATCAGCATCTAGTCTGCAAGCTGGGTCTCACACTATGTCAGTTATCATGGAGGACCTATAGTTTCTAGTTAGCATCACAGGGCAGACAGAGGCAGATGCAGAACTCAAAGGGATGTAGTCTGTCTCCTAGACCAGGCACCATGCATAGTGTTCCATCAGGGGGCCAGACACAGGACTGGGGAAGGGTTGGTATAACAGATCCTGGAACGCATGATCTCTGTCCTCACTGGGCTTTTCTGGGCTGGTCCTGTCCTCCTACAGAACTTTTGTAAAGATAATGTAAAAACAATCTTTTAAAAAATGTATTGGTGTCTCCATACAGATGGAAATGAGCAAACTTGGAGAAACGGCAGAATGGTAGCAACTAAGTCCCTGGGTCAGTGAATAAAGACAGGTGCTGGCATCTGAGCAAAGTGCACCTGAGCCAGAACACAGCCATGACAGCCAAGAGAAGAGGCTGCACAGTGAGGGGATGGGCACTGACAAGTTTGGAGGAAGAAAGCAGCAGGTAAAATGTCATGTTTGCTTCTAGTTCCTCAAGGAATGGGAAACAAGGTCAGCAGCTGAGGTAGTGAGGAACACCTGAGAAAATAAAAGTCACCCAGCTATCATGAGTAAGGCAACAATGAGCACGGCAAAGCAAGTGTCTGTGGAGGAGGTGTCAAGTCCTTTGGGCAGATGTCAAGGAGTAGAAGATCTGGGTCATACAGTGTAGTAATTGGAATGTAACTGGCCCCCATAAGCTCATAGGGAGTGGCACTATTCAGAGGTGTGGCTTTGTTGGGGTAGGTATGGTCTTACTGAAGGAAGTGTGTCACTGAAAAGGCAGGCTTTGAGGTTTCATATATGCTCAAGCCATACCCAGTGTCTCAGACCACTTCCTATTGCCTGTGGATCAAGATAGAAAATTCTCCAGCACCATGTCTGCCTGCATACCAACATACTCCCAGTTGCCATGGTCTCCACCATGATGATAATGGACTAAACCTCTAAAACTGTAAGCCACGACCTCAATTAAATGTTTTCCTTCATAAGAGTTTACATGGTCATGGTGATTCTTCACAGCAATAGAAACACTAACTAAGACATACAGTACATATATTTTTAGCTTTTTGAGAATTCTCTAAAATGTTTTCCATACTGACTGCACAGATTTGCAATCTTACCAACAGTGACTGAGGGTTCCCTTTCTACCACGTTGCATCCAGCATTTGTTGTCAATTGTTTTGTTGATCTTTGTAATTCTGACTGGGGTAAGAAAAAAATCTCAGTTGTTTTAATTTGCATTTCCCTGATTGCTAGGGACTATGAATACTTTTCTGAGTATTTCTAAATCCATTTTTTTCTTCCTTTGAGAACTCTGTTCATGTCCCAGGCCCACTTTTTTGTACAGGTAGTTCATTTTTAATCTCTGGCTTTTGAGGGTTTTTTTTAATATGTATTCTGGATAGTAATCCTTTGTCAGATGTATAGTTGACAAAGTTTCTCTCCTGCTCTATAGGCTTCCTCTTCACCTGGTTGACTGTTTCTTTAAGTGTGCAGCAGCTTTTTAGTTTTATGAGGTCACATTTGTCAATCATTAGCCTTAATTATTCAGCAAATGGAATCCTATTCAGGAAGTCCTTTCCTACACCTATATCATGTAATGCACTGCCTATGTTTTCTTCCAGCAGTTTCAGTGTTTCTGGTTCACCTTTAGTTCTTCACTCCATCTGGAGTTAGCTTTTGTGCAAGGTGACAGACACAGGTCTTCTTTCAGGTAGACATCCAGTTTTCTCAGCACCATTTATTGAAGCTGCTTCCTTTTCTCCAGCTTATCTATTTGACATCTTTGTCAAATACTAAATAGCTACAGTTATGTGTACTCACTTTTAGGCCTCAGATTTTGCTCCATAGGTGTTATGTCTATTTCTGTGTCAGTACCATATTGTTTGTACTAATAAGGCTCTGTAATTGATCTTAAGATCTGGAATGGTGTGAGGAGTGGTGGCGCACGCCTTTAATCCCAACACTTGGGAGGCAGAGGCAGTTGGTTCCCTGTGAGTTTGAGGTCAGTCTCATCTACAAAGAGAGTTCCAGGACAGCCAGGGCTGTTACACAGAGAAACCCTGCCTCATAAAAACAAACAAGCAAAAAATCTGGAATGGTGATCTCCCAACATTGTCCTTTTTTTCTTAGGATTGTTTTGGCTATTCCAGGTATTTTGCATATGAATTTTAAGATAGTTATTTCTATTTCTGTGAAAAATGAGATAGCAATTTTGATTGGGATTGCAGAGGCAGGATCTCTGTGAGTTCAAGACCAGCCTGGTCTACAAGAGCTAGTTCCAGGATGGCCTCCAAAGCCACAGAGAAACCCTGTCTGGAAAAACCAAATAATAATAATAATAATAATAAATGTTTTTTAAATGGCCCCCACAGGTTCACCAGGGGAAAGGATAACATGTAGGGAGGACACAACAGAACCGCACAATGTGCCCCACCCCCAGAGAGAAGGCAAACTGTAGGAAGACAGTCACCACACAGGGTGATGGGAGAGCAGAAAGAGCAGGGGTGAGAACGCAGGAGTCACAAGTAGATTAACCTTCAGATAAAAGCAGCACACACAAAAGTTACAGGGGCTAGGGAAAGAGGAAACTCAATCAGAAATAAGACAGTGATGCAGGGTAGAAGTCCAGATACTTTCATCTGTCACAGAGAGTGAGGGCTAAGTACACTCTTTGCCTTGAGTCTCTAGGCAGCATTAAGGAAACTGCATGCAGAATAGAATGGAATTCTGTCAGGATCACAGGGAATGCAGAAGCTGAACCTCTACTCCTGCTCATTAAGAGGGGGCATCAGACAGTGGCTGCCTTAAACACATATGTAGAATTCTGTGTATCCCTCTTACTCTCTATGTGCGTGGGTACTAAAGCCTTATTCATTTTTATTCTTTATTTATTCTCCATCAATCAGCTAGTCTACCATCTTGAGACAATCTTAATTCATCTGCACATCTGAGCCAAAACCGGGAAGACAAAGGGAATAATATACCTCAGGACAGAATAGCTTCCTCAGGGCAATGATACTGTAAACAAGCAGGGCTTTTCTACTTCATTAACACGGCTTATGATAAAGAACAAAACCACTCAACAGTTCATACAACAGCACTGTCAAGTGTCAGAAAACACTAGAGAAGCCACGGACAGGCATCCCATGTTTCAGCTACACTCATACATTTAAAGGGACACGGGAACTCCATGCCACTACAGAGTGCTTGCCATAACACACCATGCTACCATCAAGGTAAAACAAGTGTTAGTCTTATAGCAAAGTCCTTCTTCCCCCCAACCAAGTGGAGAGTCTCTCCAGGAGAGCACTATAAGAGCACTCTTATAGTGAGTGCCCTGGAGAGAACACGTATCCCAAAGCTGTCTGTAATAACACCCCACAGCCCACACACTAATGAACCATTAGTAAAATGCCACCATCAGTTCCACAAAGCAGCATCATGAGTGCATTTTTAGAGTCTGATACTCTTGCTGTTCTGTAATTCTTCCCAGAGTAAGGGTGAGACATACATTAACCTTGTAATTTAAAATATAAAATAACTGCTACAACAAAATATGTTTAACATTATATCATATTTAATGAAATCCATGAGGATGACTAACCTTTCTAAGGGCCTACTTCTACTCTTTCCTAAAAGCAGCAAATCATTGGGGCTGGAGAAATGGCTCAGTGATTAAGAGCACTGCCTGCTCTTCCAGAGGACCCAGGTTTGATTCTCAGCACCCAAGTGACCGTTCATACCATCTGTAACTCTAGTTCCAAGAGCTCCTTCTATCATCCATGGGTACTGCATGCACAGGTGTTTGTTTGTATGTGTGTGTGTGTGTGTGTATATATATGTATGTATATATATGTATATATATATATATAGTTTAAAACAGCAAATTATTAAATGTTCTTTTCTTCTTGCTTTTTTCCCTCTGTAGGCATTAACCGATAAACCACAGAAGCTTGCAATTCTTAATAGAGTCAAATATCAACTTGACCCTCAAATAATTTATATAATAAACAGTTCAGCCTATTAGTTTTCACCTGAAATAGCCCACAGTGGCCAATCACAGCAACACATTATTTAGAAGTTTCCCTAAAGTCATCATCTTAAAGGCAGCCTGCCAGCCAGAGCAGTTCCAATGGTACAGAACTAACCCAAGGCTGGTATAAAAGCCACCCGAGTTAACAGTGCTCCTAAGGATCTCCTAAGAAAGGCTTCTCTTACCTTCAGCTCTTAACAGAAAGGAAAAAAGCAGGCTGAGTCACTGAAGCAGTGTGCATACCTGCAGCACCTTTTAAGTGCAGATGTCCAAGTGGCTGCTGCCTCCAGGAAAGCCAGCCACGTGGCCCTGGCCCATTTCCTTTATCAAATTCTCACAAACTCCCTTTATCAGGAAGTTCCTTTGTCACTTGCAAGCCTCTGAGGAGGTATCTATTTCCACTCTTCAATTGTCTGTCTCTGTTGAGTTAGTTTTTCTACCTGATCTAACCATGTAACACACATACCGTGTAGTCTTCTTTGGAGTGCTTCTTCCTCTAGGGTAATCATATAAATTTGTTCATCCAAGTCTTCAAGAATCTAAATTGAAAGATAAACTACTCAATAATGCAGTGTGACACACTCAAGTATATGACACCCCAGGCTCTGAAGTTTATTATTTAAGACCATGTGTTATATTGACTCATATAACTAGGACCCCAAAATTAAATATCCAAACTAAGCATATTTTACGTACTTTATTTTTAATACATTTATGTTTTTTTCTATTTTAGTACTAACCAAACACTTCAAAAGTTGATATAACAAAATCCATATTCATTTAAATTAGGTATTTTAAGGCTTAAAGGATAACACTTTGTAGTATTCTCAGGGGCTAAAAAGGGCATGGATTTTAAACAGAGTGAGATACAGCAAATACATCTTTATGCACAAGCTGTTATTTTAGAGCTAAAAGGAAGAGATCATCTAGTACAGTATTTGTCTCCCATGTGTTTTTACCTACTCACTAAAATTAGAAACCTATAACCAGGAGCTGGAGAAATGGCTCAATTGTTATGAACACTGGCTGCTCTTCCAGAGGACCCAGGTTGGATTCCCACCAGCCACAAGCTAGCTCACAACCATATATAGACTAACTTCATCTACGTAGCAAGTTCCAGGCTAGCCAGAATTATACAATGAGACCCTATCTCAGTGTTAAAATTTTTTTAAAAACCAAACTTATCAGAGACACACAGGACACCCCATTTTTTAACTTGATACAGGAAGTGCTTCCATGAGTATTAGAAGCTAAGATCAAAAAATTCATCTGAGACAAAGCCTTAGAGAAGTAGTGTGCTTACATACACACTCGACAGCATGTCATACAACAGTGGAGGTGTGTGGGGTGTACTCATCAATCACCAACTGCGTGGGATAGTGTCTTTACTGTCTTCAAAACTAATAAAACCTAAAACTTCGATTCTGGCTGTGTTACAGTAACTGTCCTATGAGAAGGTTCTGTCTTCCTGGCTCTGGAGGAAGCACGAAAGCAGCAGGGCTGATGGTAGTACACTCTATCACTCAAGCCCAAGCTACTGATTCCAGCAAAGCAATAAAAAGGGAAGAGTTGCTGGAGTAAAGTAAGAATGGGGGTAACCACGGTATACGAATTAACTTTGGGAGCCCACTCCACATGGAAGGATGCTCGCTCAGCCTAGACACATGGGGAAAGGCCTAGGCCCTGCCCTGGATGAAATGACAGACTCTGGAGATCCCCCCCAAGGAGGGCCTCATCATCCCTGGGGAATGATGTGGGGATTGGGATGGGGCGGGGGGGGGGGGGGGGGGGTGGAGGTGGGGATGGGGCTGGAGGAGGGAGAAGCAGGGGAGCTTGGATTGACATTTGAAGCATGCATGTTTCTAATTTAAAATAAATAAATAAAAATATTTAAGGAAAAAAAAGAATGGGAGTAACCGTTTCTGTGCACCTGCCAACCTGACAAGTTGTCTAAAATCATGTGGTCACCATTTAAAAACATTCGTAAAGCAACCCACTGCTTTCCAGTCTCTTCACAAGTGTCCACGGTTCCCTTCAGCATGGCACTAAGCTACCATTGAACAGATGTACCTACCACCAGACCCACCCTGGGCATAATAAAACAATAAAAACAAAATAAATAAGAAAACGTATATTTGGGTCTGTAGGATCAGTCCCTTCATGTGCTCCAGCAGATCACAGATGGGGTGGCTATTGGGGTGGGCCAAGTCGTAACCTTGGTTCTGGGCCTGGGTAGTTGCAGGGTTGGTCAGCCTGCCAGCTCTCTCTTGTCCTCACCACCAGGGTGACCTCTACTGCATTGCCTTGGCAGCCATGAGCAAGGGGCATGGCCAGCCTCTTTGCAATGAACACTTGCAAGTAAAGATATATGAACAAAGGGGTTTACTTCGTGACTCACTGTGTCACACACAGCTTCCATGACAAGATTCTTTTCCCTTTTCCCTCTTTTCTTTCTTAAATTGTATGGGGGTAGGGTGATGCAAGGAGGGAAGGCAGATACACAGGGGCAGGGAATGAAGGAGAATGAGATGCATGATGTGAAAGACGCAAAGATTAAATGAAAAGAAAGTTAAAAAGAAAGAAAAGGTAGATAATAGATAATGACACGGAGTGGCTGTCACCTAAGAGGAGGAAGGGGACCTCTCCAGAGACCTTACCAAGGCTGAGAGGCAGCACGTGCTAGAAAGCATGAGGTCCTGAGCAGGAGTGGCCCATGATGAGGTCCACTGGATAGCCAATGGGAGAGTAAGCCAAGACCGTTACTCGATGAGGGGACAGAGACAAGAACGCTCCTCTCGGTCAGTGTTTCCCATCACTTTTGGCTGTTTGAACTCAAATTGATCATGTTTACCTGTCCTAAATTCTTTTTTTTTTTTTTTTTTGGTTTTTACCAGACAGGGTTTCTCTGTATTGTTTTGGAGGCTATCGGTCCAGCCTGGCCTCAAACTAACAGAGATCTGCCTGCCTCTGCCTCCCGAGTGCTGGGATTAAAGGCGTGTGCCACCACCGCCCGGCACCTGTCCTAAATTCTAATACTTTAAGGATTTTCATTTCATAGTATAAATTACTGATAATTCAGACCATAGTTGAATGGCACCAGGAGAAGCACAGAGATGTATATCGTGTACCTCTGAGCATCCCAGCAACCTCATTACTTCATACTCTAAGAAGCAAAGGCTTCACAGGGAAACTCCAAGTGCCTTCAGGGCCTTGGCTCATCACTACTGTAAACTAACAGGAACTCAGACATGAGCACCCCATGGGACAACAATGGAGATAAGAATTTCAAACAGTACCTTTGAGATTAAAATAAATGTCAAAACTGAGGTTTGAATAAAAAGTTAGCAAAGGTCAGAGAGAAAAAGTACTTCCACTTGAAGAGAAAGAACACGCAGTGTTTCTAATGGCTAGAACACCTGATTGACAGCCTGAACTCTAAGAAGGGAACAGGCACTTCAGGTAAAGAGAGCCATGTGTAAACACGGAGGCAGAGAGGAGGCAAGCTCATGAGGAGGAAGTCACTACTCGGGAATTCTTAGACGACTAGAAGTTAGTGGTCGGGAGCCTGGGCTCCGGGTTCAAACTTGTCTTTACACAGCTCTGTGACTGACTACTCAGCCTCCCTGGACTGAAGCCAATTTACCTACAAAATGAGACCATCAACACCCAAGTTCTGGCCTGTGGTCAAGATGACATGAAACCATGTGTCACATACAGTACCTAGCACCAGCATGGGAGAGATGCAGAATCGCTCAGGAACTAGCCACAGTCACCGGATAGTAGGAGCAAGGAAGAAAACAAGGACAGCTAAGGCTGTGGAGGAGTTAATAAGGCAGCGCCAGGAGCAGTGACACAGAAGCACTCTGGCTTCATAAGCAAGGAGGTGGAGCTGGCAGCCCCGCATTAGTCAACAGTGCTTAGCAGACTGCAAGTGCCTTCCTGGTCTTCTCACTACCATCCGCAGACAAGGCCCAAAGCACACAGTAGAGCAGTAACAAAACTTTAGACCAAGAGTGGGAATCGAACACCCATCCACAGGAAGTAGAAAAAAAAAAAACAGAGTAGAAGAAACTAAATGAATTCTGTATCACAAAGCCTCTTTTAGAGGGAACTGAATTAGAGAATGTAATTTTCAAAATCAAGTAATAGTTTACTGAAAGATCATCTACCATAATATTGCCTCACCACAGCCGGGCGGTGGTGGCGCACGCCTTTAATCCCAGCACTCGGGAGGTAGAGGCAGGCGGATCTCTGTGAGTTCGAGGCCGGGCTGGACCAATAGCCTCCAAAACAATACAGAGAAACCCTGTCTCGTAAAAACAAAAACAAAAAAAAAAAAAAAATATTGCCTCACCACAAGGGGAGGACAGACGCATGGCCAATATGACCCAGCAGAGATCCCTGGTCAGACACAAGCCATAGACACTGGGAAATGTGGAGAAGGCAGCACAGTGATGTCTGCACTTCCCTCGGGAGCCTGCTGAGGGCTGCAGCAGGTGAGCAGCTCTGCACTGACAGAGCAAGCCTGGAACCCACAGCATGGAGCCCTGTGGCCCACAACAAGGCAGCTTCAAACTGCTCTGAGAGTCCATGCAGGAGCAGAAGAGGGGCGCAGCACAGAGCGCTGGGAAACCTAAACGGGTAGACAGCTGCGACTTAGCTGGCGGCAGTGAGGATCAAGGAAGGAACTTAAGCGCCAGAGTTTCTAGGAATAGCTAAGAAGTTATTATCTGTAAAAATAGCCAAAAAAAAAAAAAAAAAAAAAAAAAGCCGGGAGGTGGTGGCGCACGCCTTTAATCCCAGCGCTCGGGAGGCAGAGGCAGGCGGATCTTTGTGCGTTCGAGGCCAGGCTGGACCGATAGCCTCCGAAACAATACAGAGAAACCCTGTCTCGTAAAAACCAAAAAAAAAAAAAAAAAAAAAAAATAGCTCAAAGATTGGAGAACTAGGAACAGATCATTATATTGCTACCCACTAAAAGTCATTTAAAATAAATATGTAACATTTCTCAAAGTAAAAGTATAATTCAGGATACAATATGCATATTTTCAGAAACTGGTTTCAAAAATCAAAGCATGGATACAGTCAATTTTCTTTTTGCCTCTGTTTTGTGTTTGTTTGGGGACTTTAGCTAATTTATTTGTTTTATCTGTGGACAACTCTCACTCTGTGGCCCAACTAGTCTTGAGCTTACAATCCCCAAGCCTCTCATACCCCAGAATCAGGGACACTAACACCATGGTCAGCTGTGTGATCAGTTCTGAAACACATAAAATTACTGTTGGATTCAGGGCAATGAACACAAAATACAGACATCTGCAAAGTTTGTCTTGAAATTTTCTATACAAACTTTTATTTAAGTGTGTATAGTTAGTTATTATTTTAAAAAGCAAAAAAGATTTTGTTCTCTAAAAAAGTGATTTAAAATATTAAAAATGTGAATGATAAACTTAAAAAAGTATCCTTAGTTTTTTTAATCTTTGTTACATAATCAAATATATAAACACAGGTATTCAGCTAACCCAAATAAAATAAAGTACTTACCGCTGGCTTCACCAGCAACTGACCCATCACTGTGAACATACGGGAAAGGCCAACTGGGGTGCACACTGTAGGAAATAAATCACCAGTGAGGAAACAGGAAACACACTGTAGGAATAAATCACCAGTGAGAAAACAGGAAACACACTGTAGGAATAAATCACCAGTGAGAAAACAGGAAACACACTGTAGGAAATAAATCACCAGTGAGGAAACAGGAAACACACTGTAGGAAATAAATCACCAGTGAGGAAACAGGAAACACACTGTAGGAAATAAATCACCAGTGAGGAAACAGGAAACACACTGTAGGAATAAATCACCAGTGAGAAAACAGGAAACACACTGTAGGAATAAATCACCAGTGAGAAAACAGGAAACACACTGTAGGAAATAAATCACCAGTGAGGAAACAGGAAACACACTGTAGGAAATAAATCACCAGTGAGGAAACAGGAAACACACTGTAGGAAATAAATCACCAGTGAGGAAACAGGAAACACACTGTAGGAAATAAATCACCAGTGAGGAAACAGGAAACACACTGTAGGAATAAGTCACCAGTGAGGAAACAGGAAACACACTGCAGGAAATAAATCACCAGTGAGGAAACAGGAAACACACTGTAGGAAATAAATCACCAGTGAGGAAACAGGAAACACACTGTAGGAATAAATCACCAGTGAGGAAACAGGAAACACACTGTAGGAAATAAGTCACCAGTGAGAAAACAGGAAACACACTGTAGGAATAAGTCACCAGTGAGAAAACAGGAAACACACTGTAGGAAATAAATCACCAGTGAGGAAACAGGAAACACACTGTAGGAATAAGTCACCAGTGAGGAAACAGGAAACACACTGTAGGAATAAGTCACCAGTGAGGAAACAGGGAAAGAGTCTAAAGAGCCCCTTAGGTATGTATATCCTCATCTCCAACTCAGCCTCACCAGGCACTCTGCCAGAAGGCCCTTCAACTCCACCAATGAAGAACCAGGACAGTGTGAGGAGGCCATGAACATCACATGAAATGTGAAGATGAAAGCCTATGGTAGTCAGGATTGCAAAGGACCAACACTCTTGTTTAAAACGAGTTAAACAGACCCAGAAAAAAAACACACAGTATTTCACCTACTAGAACTGAGAGCCAGAAAAAGGTATCTAAAAGTGGCAACTGTAGTCACAAGTCCTTTGAACTATGTTTGACAACTTATACTATTCCTGAGATAGAGTATGATGTCTTCAGTAAAACCAAACAAATTTTGAAATAAATACTACAAAGTCATCAGACAGAACTTTACTCTCTGCATTTAAAGTAACTTCAGTGTTATACTTGAGCTAGAGGTAAAGAATATGCACATGAGGTGGGGGGACAGAGTACATGGGGTACATGTTGGTTTTGGTGTATGCATGTGTATCCAACAGAGCAGAAAAGGCTTTCCTTAGTGAACAAAAGCACCTAATTATTTCAAGGTTCTGCTAATTAAAATGTATCTGGAATACTAAAAATAAAGTTAAGGACAACTCAATAAACAGTCTCCATTGTTAAGGACTCTCATTAGAAAAACTGCCACAATTTTCCAGGGTACAAGACGACTCTGCCTTCCTGCCAGTGTCACAATGAAGAGTACTTACAGAGAAGCAGCAAGCATCCCATCAGAGAAATGCAGGAGTATAAATATGGCAAGTAGAACTCCCAGAGATCTGTGAAAACATCAATGTGTTTAAATAAGTTAAAGTGTGGCAATTAAAATAGTCTATATTTCCAATATCCCCTCATTTCCCCAGGGAGGGTGAGGCCCTCCATGGGGGTGTCCATAGTCTGTCATTTCATCCAGGGCAGGGCCTAGACCCTCCCCCGAGAGTCCAGGGTGAGAGTGCACCTCACATTGTTCTATGGGAGTCCAAAGTCCATGTGTATACCCAGGATGGGTACTGGTCTACTATGCAAGGCTCAATAGATTACCTAGGCCTCCTCACTGACACCCACGTTCAGGGGGTCTTGATCAGTCCCATGCTGGATTCCCAGGGTGTGGGAGGAGGGGAAGGAAAGGGAGAGGGACCTGGAATTGACATGTGAAGCAACCTTGTTTCTAATTTAAATTTAAATTTAAAAATAAAATTTAAAAAAAAGGTTGAGAGAGATTGAAAGATAATTTGATAATGCAAATTAGAATAGAGGGCACATTAGGTACAAGACTCTGGATTCACTAAGATAGGATAGATAATGGAGTATTTTCTCTGAATTTGTCAAATGCTAATGGACTAGACATTCTCAATGTACTTATTGCCTGTATATATTTATATAGTTATTGTACTTATTGTATATAGTTTTTCTTATAACGTTTTTGCTTTTAGACAAAAAGAGATATATGGTGATAACTTCTTTGTACAAATAAAGCATGTCTGGAGATCAAAAAAATAGTCTATATTTTACCTTAATAAATAGCAATATGTGATAAACATTTTAACTGCCTATCTGAGTATATAAATGATCTAACTTCTAATTAAGAATAAAAAGATCTAAAGCAGGAGAATAAGAAATAAACCTTCTGAGCCAGTGGTGGTAGTACACGCCTTTAATCCCAGGCAGAAACAGAGGGATCCTTGTGAGTTCAAGGCCAGCCTGGTCTACAGAGTGAGTTTTGGGGCAGCCAGAGCTACACAGAGAAACCCTGTCTCGAAAGAAAGAAAGAAAGAAAGAAAGAAAGGAAGGAAGGAAGGAAGGAAGGAAGGAAGGAAGGAAGGAAGGAAGGAAGGAAGGAAGGAAGGAAGGAAAGAAAGAGAAAGAAAGAAAGAAAGAAAGAAAGAAAGAAAGAAAGAAAGAAAGAAAGAAAGAAAGAGAAAGAAAGAAAGAAAGAAAGAGAGAGAGAGGGAAAAATCTGTTTCAGAGGAATACTACATGGAATTTTAAGAACAAGAACCAATTAATCAAAAATGCATGGAAAATACTTAGACTTTTGAAACAATGAATATTCACTGATTTGAATAAATATCTCTAAATACATCTAAATTCTGTAAGTTAACAGACAGTTAACCACACAAAGAACTATTTAAAAATTTTTAATCCAAAAAAAAAGTTTTTATATCCTATATAATTGTATCCCAAACTCAGATGCTCATCATAGGAACTAGCTAAAACAGTAATCAAGTACCATATAAAGACTCCATGCTGGCAGCATCACTGTCAATCAGGGCAGAAGCCACCCATACCATCCCAAGAATCAGCAATGCAAGAAGCAGCAACATGACCAGGGTTTCCAAAACTCGAGCTCGGATTCCCTGAAAATACAACAGCAACAGTGTTTTAGTACTTTATATCACCTCATGAGCAAGTAGGCTTTTATTTGAAAGCAAAAAACCATCCCTTGGGAGGGAAGAAAAATATATATTTATACTTAACAATTTGTTTTTCATATAAATCTGTATTTATTAAAGAAAGTGTTTGTGGTTTATGTTTAGAGTGACTTTTAAAAATTATATTTTAAAAAATAATAAACTTGGGATAAAACACACAAAAAAAGTCAACCATACCAGCATTTTACAGAAGCATTTTGAACTATTACTTTACTAGCACTTCCCAGAAGAAGGAACACTTATGGATTTCCATCTGTGGTTCTAATCAAGGAATGTCAGATTGTTTGATACACTGGAGACACAGGGCTAGGGCACCACCTATCAGGAAGGGCCCCAGCAGCACCTTGCAGCCTCTGGAGCCCTCTAGTGACCAGCTAGAGAACTGCTTGCTGGACAGCAACACCAAGAACCCCACAGATAGTACAACAATATATAACCCATTCATTTTTCATATATAAATACACTAGTTTACCAGGAGATCAACTAGTTTATAAGACATGACTAAAATAAGGAATCATCATGCATATTTTTAAAAGTAAAATAGATTCTGACCTCAAAAAGTCAGGCTGAAAGATCAGACTGGGAAACTGCTAAATAAACCTAAGTTGAAACTTTCTTACTCCTAAAAAAATCATCAATAATTGTTTCTGTAAATAAGTTCAAAGATTTACATCCCTGTTTTATGTCTCTAACTTCTAACAACAAACTTGCAAGTGTACCCATTTCTCAGTAATCTATTCCTCCATTCCATACCGAGAATGGTTTAAAGAGGTGAGTTACAAAGACGCAGACACACTTCCACTTGGCTGATCTTGCTAACCCCTGCACTGCAGGAACAAGAACAAGGAACACTGACATCACATCTCCACAGTCCTGCACATGAGACACAGAGAAGAAATGTCCCAGCCCAGTGTGCCAATGTCAGGGGTAGAGTGCCTTTTTCCTACCTGTCCTTCAACAGTGTCATGGTCTTGTACAGGCTTTAACCACTTGCTCAGACGTGTCAGCTCATGTGTGTATGGCCAGCAAGGCCAAGGAATCAAATGGAATCAGGCTCGTATCATAGCACATAAGTTCTAGTAACAAGCAGCATTTCAAGAAAGGGGAAACCGAAAAACTAGGTGAGCACAGTAGTTCCAGTCTGCAATCCCAGCACTCAGAAGCCTGAAGCAGGAGGGTTCAGATTCCCTAAAAACATAGTTCAAGGCCAGCCTGGGATACATAGTAAGTTCAAGACCAGCCTGAGGTATGAAGTAAGATTCTGTATCAAAAAACTGATTTTAGATTTGGCTCCACCCATATCCAAGAAACTACCTGCAACTGATACCCTCTGACAAAAGGAAAATCAGTTTTCTCCAATGAGTCTCAATGGAAATATCAACCACACTTCAGGGAAGGCCCCATGCTCAGGAGTAGTTGGCTAACACAAAACAAAATCAATAGTATTTTTATGGACTTTTAGTTTCATTTTGCTCTGTTGGGCCTTTTCTATGTGTCTTTTGTCTTTTGGTTTTTTGCTTTGATTTTCATTCTTGTGGGTTTTTTGCTTTGTTTTGTTTGTTTTGTTTTTCAAGACAGAGTTTCTCTGTGTAGCCTTGGCTATCCTGGAACTAGCTCTTGTAGGCCACACTAGCCTCAAACTCACAGAGATCCACCTGTCTCTGCCTCCCTGAGTGCTGGGACTAAAGGCGTGCACCACCATCACCCAGTTCCTTTTTGTGTTTTTGTGGAGAATTTTTGTTTCTTGGCTTTTGTTTTTTTGTTTTGTTTCTTGTGGGGATTTTTGTTGTTGCTGATGGTTTTTTTTGTTTGTTTGTTTTGTTTGAAAGACAGAGCAAACATAAGTTGGGTAGGTAGGAAGGTAGAAAGGATCTAGAAGAAACTGATAGAAGGGGAAAACATCAAAATATATTGTGTAATTATTCCATAAAAAAGAAATAAAATTGTTTTTAATGTTTAACTATTTATTTATTACAGTTCAACTAAAAGGTTAAACCAAGGGCTTCATGCTCAAGGCCTCACACATACTAGACAATCACTCACCACTGAGCCAAGGTATTTTTTATGGGTTTTTTTCATTTAAATTAGAAACAATCTTATTTTATATATCAATCCCAGTCCCCTCTCCCTCCCATTCTTCCATGCCTTCCCTGCCCGCCAACGCCCATCTCATCTCTTCTCCTCCATAAAATGGGTGAGGCCTTCCATGGAGGATCATTAAAGTCTGTCACATCATTTAGGGCAGGGCCTATGCCCTCCCCTGTGTGTCTAGGATGAGAGAGTATCCCTCTATGGAGGATGGGCTCCCAATGTCCATCCATACACTAGGGATACATACTGTTCCACTACCAGAGGCCCCATAGACTACCCAGGTCTTCTAACTGACACCCACGTTCAGGGGGCCTGGTTCTGCCCTATGCTGGTTCCCCAGATGTCAGTCTGGGGACCATGAGCTCCCCCTTGTTCAGGTCAGCTGTTTCTGAGGGTTTCACCAACCTGGTCTTGACCACTTTGCTTATCACTCCTCCCTCTGCAACTGGACTCCAAGAATTCAACTTCCAAATAAACAGAAGTTCCATGCTAATTTTATTTCAAAAATAATAAAATATGCAGAACCTTATGAACAAATGTCTCAAATCCTAACAGACAACCTCCATTCACTCTCCCTTCCAAATCTTCCAGGGTGCCATTCTTACCTAGACTCTGAGGAGACCCCGTGTATCATATGGTAACCCTGTATCAATACTGTGTGATGCCCCGTCTTCCACCACACTGACTTAAATACTCCCCACTGATGGGTTAGCCTTGCCTGCTCATCCTAAAGATTAGTATCTACTTTGTTGTTTATGTCAACACTGGAAATTTCAATGTCAGAACCTTTCCTGCCAACTCCTCTAGCCCCAAAGACACACCCCGAGCTTTAGCACCAATCTTCTTAGTACATTATGTGATTACAAATCATACTGGCCCCTCCTCTTCCCCTCTCCATGTCTCCACCCATTGGGAAAGCTTACACATGTCCAAGAGCATGGCTTTTCTATTACAGACCTACAAATACATCAGGAAACTCACAATAAAATAAAAGTTGCCTTGGTCATGGTGCCTTCTCACAGCAACAGAACATTAACTAAGATGGGCATATACTCAAAACACTCTTACTTCCTACTACAGACACACATATTCAGCCAAGTTCATAGCTTCTCCATTGACAATCTGGGACATGGAAAACTGTCTAAATTTCCATCAATTGTTAAATATATAATGAAATATGATATCTATATACAATGGAATTTTATTCCACTACAAAGAAAAAAGAAAATTTCATTTAAATGGACAGAGCCACAAAATACACTAAGTGAAGTAACTCAGATCCAGAAAGACAAATATCACATGTTATCTCTTCTATGTAGATCTTAGGGCTAGAATCATTAAATTTTTGTGTTTAATCAGGAGTATATGTAGAATCCAGAAAGCTAGAAAGGGACCGCTGGTGGGAGTGAAGAAAGTTCTTAAAGGGGTGGGGACTGTAGAACACATGTGATATGAAGGGGAGAGAAGAAATGCTGAGGAGAAGGGGTGGAGTAAGGAAAAGGATATAAGGGTGTGGTGACTGAAAGAAAGGAGTGGCAGGCACTATTGGGAGGTGTGCCTTTGTTGGAGTAGGTGTGACCTTGTTGAAGGAAGTGTGTCACTGTAGATGCCCCCATGCCCGGGAATATATTGGAAGCAGATCCATCCAGTAGTATATTAAAAGAAAAAAAAGGGACACAAAGTCAGGTGGGTGAGGGAGATAGGGGTAGTCCTGAGAATAGATAGGAGGAGTGAAGTAAATATGATCAGAATATACTGCATGAAATTCTCAAAGAGTTAATACTTAAAGGTAACTAAGAAGTTAACAAGTAAATAAAAGTACTGAATTACAAAAGTTCAATATAATTCAAATGTGTGAGATGTGTCTCAGTATATATTACATCACATCAAGACACTTTATTGGTTGCCCAGAAAGGCTCTTTCTTCTATTTCTATGCTAACAATTATTTAGTTATAAATTTCACATTTAAAAAGTGATTGGAATCCCCAAACTCCAAGCCTACTTCTAGTCACCCATCTCTCATACTGGTTTTCCCTGATGAGTCCCTCAAGAACCAAGCCTGCCTGCACTATTCTACATTCGTGGGCCTAGATCCAGACATGTAGCTCAGGGAAAGGCCTCGCCTAACGGGTTGCTCTAGAACATCACCTGCCTGTTCAAGCTCCACACTCCAAGGTCAAGCTCCAAATGTACTGTTCATAAACTAGCCTTACCCGGTGTATTCATCCATACCCTACCCTGTCTGTGCTATCCCCATACTCCCAAGCCTCGCTCCAGTTGTGCAGCTTCTACGCCAGGCTGGACTCTCATTTCAAACATACAACCAATGAAAGAAGTCCCAGGTCACATCACAAAACACAAACAATATGAAAATCCAAGACAGTATGTTCCCATCAAACTCACTAGGCCCTACAGAAATGTTCTCCAATGACAATTACCTTGAGGAACCCCAAGACAGAATTTTAAAGAATAATCACAAATTAGGAGGACTTCCACCAAGAGAGTACTAAAGACTAGACATCCTTATGAAGTCCTTATCTCAAAGAACATCTCAAATGCTAAATAAAATATTAAGTCTTCCTACAATCTCCTCTTTGTCTACTAACTCTGAGTAACATACCAACTGGCACCTTTTAGTGTCAGTGTCCTAGTTAGAGTTGCTATTGCTATGATGAAACACCATGACCAACCAAACGCAAGTTGAAGAAGAAAGGGATTCATTTGGCTTACACCTCCATACCATAGTCCATCATTGAAGGAAGTCAGGACAGGAACTCAGACAGGACCAGACCTGGAGGCAGGAGCTGATGAAGACGTCATAGAGGGGTGTTGT